AATAAATTTGCACAACCAGTGGAATGGAAGAGGTGGTTTAGAGATTTCAAAATGTGTTGTAAAAATTGTCCAGTGGGAAGAACAATGACTGATTTCAAGAACTTGTACATATATTTGTATCATTCCCAATCTTTACACATTCCAAAACACTTCCCAGCTATTTAAGAACTTTTGAAGTCATTTATATAAATAATTTCGATGTGAACGTAGGAGGTATGGTTAGTAAGTTTGCAGATGACACCAAAATTGGTGGTGTAGTGGACAGTGAAGAAGGTTACCTCAGAGTACAATGGGACCTTGATCAGATGGGCCGATGGGCTGAGGAGTGGCAGATGGAGTTTAATTTAGATAAATGTGAGGTGCTGCATTTTGGAAAGGCAAATCAGGGCAGGACTTACACACTTAATGGTAAGGTCCTGGGGAGTGTTGCTGAACAAACAGACCTTGGAGTGCAGGTTCATCATTCCTTGAAAGTGGAGTCACAGGTGGATAGGATAGTGAAGGCGGCATTCGGTATGCTTGCCTTTATTGGTCAGTGCATTGAGTATAGGAGTTGGGAGGTCATGTTGTGGCTGTACAGTTCATTGGTTAGGCCACTATTGGAATACTGCATGCAATTCTGGTCTCCCTACTATGGGAGGGATGTTGTGAAACTTGAAAGGGTGCAGAAAAGATTTACAAGGATGTTGCCAGGTTTAGAGGGTTTGAGCTACATGGAGAGGCTGAATAGGCTGGGGCTATTTTCCCTGAGTGTTGGAGGCTGAGGGGTGATCTTATAGAGGTTTATAAAATCATGAGGGGCATAGATAGGGTAAATAGACAAGGTCTTTTCCCCAGGGTAGGGGAGTCTAAAACTAGAGGGGAATGGTTTAAGGTGAGAAGGGAAAAGTTTAAAATGGACTTAAGGGGCAACTTGTTCATGTAGAGGGTGGTGTGTGCATGGAATGAGCTGCCAGAGGAAGTGGTGGAGGTTGGTACAATTACAACATTTGAAAGACATCTGGATGGGTATATGAATAGGAAGGGTTTAGAGGGATAGGGGCCAAATGCTGGCAAATGGGACTAGACTAATTAAGAATATCTGGTCGGCATGGACAGGTTGGACCAAAGGGTCTGTTTCGCTGCTGTACAGCTCTAGGCCTCTAAGTGCATGGCCTGTTATAGGAAATGAATCAGGCAATTTGCATGCAACAAGGTCTCACAAATATCAATTAAGTACAAGACTAGATTGTTTGTTTTAGGTTTTGCTTGAAGAGATAAATATTGACCAACTGCTTGAATATTGCTCTGGGATCTTTTATCTTGACCTGAGAGGACAGATGGAGCTCTGTTCAATTTCTGTCTGGAAAGTGACACTGCTGACAGTGCATTTCCTCCGTACTACCCTGAAATGCTGGCCTTGGTTATGTTCTCGACTCCCTGAGAAAAGATAATTAACACTGAGCCAATGTAGCGCATACAAAGAAAAACTGCACAACATGGTCACTGTTTATATACTCAAAAGCTAAGGGTGAAGTTGAAAGCATTTTTGGCAGATGCGATGCTTAACAACTTGCACCAATGTTGAACAAAATTCAACTGAGTGAAAATATTGTTCAACTATGAATTATATAATAGAGTCAAAGTCAGAGAAAATCATTAACAAACCATATGAGGTTCTGGTTAAGCCAATTCAGAATAATATCTTCATTTCTGATCAACAAAATGCGGAGGAGATATTAAACATTGCAGATCGAGCTCTGTACTGTCAGCTTGCAGCAGCAAAGGTCTGAGTCACTAGAACAGTCTGACTTTTCGGTTGGGCCCAGGTGTCTGAGAACTGATTCTTGATAAGATGCATTAGGTGATAAATGGTATTTAAAAAAAACCTAGGAGAAAGCACATAAAATTACAAAAGCAGTTCAAGGGAACACAGTTTCCATCTAGAACAGAGCAAATTTGAATCAGATCTCGGGGAAATTGTTCACACCAAATGCGGTCACCATCCATCCTTCGATTGGGTTAGTGAAATCAGAAAGTCTAGAGTCATTTAAGAACCAGTTTCAGAGGGGAAGGGGCTGCAATTCTTTCTAGATCAATGTACTGAGTTGGGCTAAATACCTTTCTGAAATTAATGTGTGTTCTTATCAGAACTTTCCCAAAAGGTATGTATCCTGCTTTCTGAGATACAGAATCCACAGTTTGCAATGGTCCTGTATTTAGGTGTGAGCAACACTGCTCTAATTGACCCACTGCAATGTCTTTTTTCTGTTCTGATTCCTTGCTAGTTCCAAGTAATTCTGCTGTACAATAGGCACTGGGATCCTGTTGCATTCTCATTGTAACTGAGAGCAGTGTTAGAGATTACGTGGTGGATGAGGAATAGTGCAGTTTTGTGCCGACATTGTTAATTCCTGCTTATTCTGTGGTTGTTAACTACAGTGGGTAATAAAGTCCGGAGCACATTTGTGGATCAGACACTTTTCTGAGCCATTTGCAATCCATGTCTTGACAAAAGCAAAACAGACACACTTGACAGTAAATATACCCCTCAGCATCAGTAATTCAACCAGTGAAGATGCAATCCAACAGCCAGTTGCAGTAGATTGAGTGCTTCTTGACTGTTGTATGAGTTTAACATTTGACAAATTTCTGCACTGTACAGAAGAGCTGAAAACCTTTTTACATCTTGGCACAGGGTGAACTAGGAACATTGTTAGTGATGGTGGTTGAGAAGGTGTGACAGGATTGTGGGGTTTTTGATGGGGTGCTCCACTGACAATCTCCTTTGCCAATCGACAGCAAGCTTTACTCTGTACCCAACTCATGTAATCTTAATGATTGGCTTCACAAAGACTTGATTCTGACATTGATCTGATATTTGGAAAGCATTCTACCATCCAGCTTTATTGTATTGGGAAAAATATTTTTCAAATCAGAAACCCTTGTGGGAAATAGCAGGAAGCAAGATTAAATTATCTGAGTATGTTCTCAGAGACTGAACCCATATGACCAATTGAAGAATGAAGTGGATACGTGTACACAAGTTACGAATCTGCCAAAGAGAAAGCAAGGTTTCTCCTTGGCATCATTGCTTCCTACAGGAATTAGTTCAGGATGAAGATATTTTGGGGAATGCATGCCTGGATAGTGATGAACATTTGGACTTTCTGCTTGGGTTCCTGGATGAAGAAAGAAAGATCATCTTTTAAATGCCTGTGAGACATGGTTAGAATTTGATAGATTTTCGAAAACAAATCATCACTCAATGGAAGAATATTTCATGGACATTAACAGCAGGCACATCCTTTACCTGGAATATAAAAGAAAAAGTGGCTTTTTTTTTGCAATATGAGATCTTCCATCCCCATTAATGTTCCTGTCCTTCTTGCTTCAATTTTTTTTTATATTTTAATATCGATTCCCACCCATATGACAAGTCACCTGATAATGGAGTAGCGCTTCGAAAGCTTGTGATTTTAAATAAACCTGTTGGACTATAACCTGGTGTCATGTGACTTGTGACTTTGTCCACCCCAGTACAATACTGACACCTCCACATCAGAATCAGGATGTATAATGCTTGTTGAAGTGTATTACTTGAAGGATTCCACTTGTTGAATAAATGTCACAACACCCTTTCTAATTGGTTTATGTCTTTGATTGTGATCTGATTGATTCCTGGTTGTCTTTATAATTCTGTGTCTTCTGCAGGAATTGTAAATCACTGTAACACTAGTGAATCTGTAACTCTGTGGAGTGCTATATCTTATTAATACTACAAGCAGGCTCTGGTTGAGAAACAGTGGTACGATGCTAAAAAGATTAGGACTTCAGGCTCTGTTCTCGATCTGTGTAGAGTTACATGATGTTATCCAATATGTCAGTCTGGGCATCCTAGTTAGGTTGCCTATAAGTTAATAACCTAAATCACTGCCCATTGACCGTGGGGGGTTTCCTACAGCCAAACCTCTGTAATTGAATAGTCTGTCAATGTTCTGAGTGGGACTGGGTTTGGGAGCTATTGCAAGTAGTCCAGGTCTGTGAAGCTGCATTTGATCAGTTGTAAAACTGTATATTTGTATTTTTTCCTATATTTTTGTTTGTGGACTGAAATAGCTCGAGGGCTGTATTCAAATCAAGAATTGTGGAAGGTATTGCTGCACTTTCTCAAAGCAGGTTCCCAACACTGTATTATAAGTGCCTGTTTCTATTGCTGTTTGTTCAAGCAGGTGGGGGAAGGTTATCGAAGCTGGGCTGTCTCTGGTGCGTGAGTATAAAACGAGATTCAGTTGGCAACAAGTCTCTGATTGGTCTGTGGAGTGGTTACTAATGGTAGGTGACAAAGGCCCTTTGCCTTCCAATGATTGTCTCCTAGGTAACCAAACAGTATTAGGCTAGGAATGATCTGGCCAAAAGCCTTTGAATCTCAGTCTCCCCCTTTGCCTTACCCTCTGTTCCCCCTCCCACCCATTCAAAACACCATTTTGTTTTGTCTGTGTATATAGGGGGAGTTTTATAAAGGGTATGGAGGTTTTTAACTCGTACAACATAGAACATAGAACAGTACAGCACAGTACAGGCCCTTCGGCCCACGATGTTGTGCCAAACTTTTACCCTAAACCTAAGGTCTATCTAACCTCCATCCCTACCTTACACTATCATCCATATGCCTATCTAATAACCGCTTAAATGCCCCTAATGAGGCCGACTCCAGTACGCTCTCCGGCAATGCATTCCACGCCCCGACCACTTCCTGAGTAAAGAACCTACCTCTGACGTCTCCCCTATATCTACCTCCACTCACTTTAAAACTATTCCCCCTCGTAATAGCTACCTCCACCCTCGGAAAAAGTCTCTGGCTGTCCACTCTATCTATACTTCTGATCATCTATCAAGTCACCTCTCATCCTTTGTCGTTCTAAAGAGAAAAGCCTTCAGTTGAGTTATATGTTGACAGTTCATAGACATTTGCCTGTAGCTAGAACCTTGTACTTAACAGGAATTCTTATTTATTACAGAAACTTGGTCTGTGCTTTCTGTTCACCTGGGCCTCAACTGCAGGTAAATGCTGTGTATTTTGTTAAAGTATTTAATCAATGCGATGATGTTTGGATTGGCAGGCCTTGATTTCCAGTGTACTACCCTCTGTGAGGTGTATCTACAGTATTGTCCAATAGGCACCAGCCACTAGCTACAGGTGTGCTTAAGGAAAGCCCATTTTAGCCATATCCATTACTTGTGTTTTTTACAGATAAGTTCAAGAGTATATTTATTTCAACATTTCCCTTTTATTCAGTAACCAAAGATGTAAATCACTCATTTATAAACAAACACACACCCACACACTGCTTTAATCTGCTATGTCACCAGCACAATATATAAAATACTCACATGTACAATATACAATGAACATTGAAATCATGTGGCCAACTGCTCATTTTTATTTAACCAATTGCAAATACAAACATCAGGCATCCATGTAACTAAAGGTACATGTCCTTTCTCTTGTGCTGACAGATACATGAATTATCAACTTGTGAATTCCATCATATTTACCCGCATTGATCAAGCTGCTAAATCGCCTAATTCCTAAAACACAGGCAGTAACCTTCTCCAGACAGTCAGTATTTCTTTCCGTCGGTCTCACTCTCACTGATGTGCTCTCTTAGTTTATAGTCATTTAATTCTAATTAAAAGCAGTTCCTCTGTTTGCAACATCTGAGAATAGGAAACAATTTCCAAGTTTCCAATTCTTAATTCTTCGCCTAAAGACCTCACTTGCTTTTGACTTGTGAGAGATCCACTAATACTTGATAACGGGAGGCCTACTGTTATTATCACTGGGCTATTAATCCAGAGATCCAGGTAATGTTCTGGGGACCCAGGCTTGAATCCCGCCATGGCAGATGGTGGAATTTGAATTCAATAAAAATATGGAATTCAAAGTCTAATGGTGACTACGAATCGATTGTCAGGAAAACCCATCTGGCTCACTTATGTCCTTTAGAGAAGGAAACTGCCATCCTTACCTGATTTGGCCTACATGTGACTCCAGACCCACAGCAATGTGGTTGACTCTTAACTGCCCTCTGGGCAATTAGGGATGGGCAATAAATGCTGGCCTAGCCAGCAACGCCATCATCTTGTGCTTGAATAAAACATTGATGGGACCAATTAAGATTTGCTTGTCAAGGAGTTTTCACACAAGTAAGAAATAGAGTCAATATTTTTCCAATGAAGAAGAGTAACCTTTAGTTGACCTGGTGTTTCCAAATCAAAGCAAGCTTCGACTGCTTGATTCAGGCCTAACCCGGTCACAATTGCCCCATGAGCAATAAAATATGAAGTAGTAAATGAGTAACAGAATATATTCCATTGTAGGAAAGATTTGAGTTGGAGGAATTTACCCTTTGTTCCAGTGATAAGGATCCTTTTCAGTATAAAAGTTTGGTTTTTCGGATAAAGTCGTATTTTCACTTTACTGCCTTTTCTTTTTGGCCTGTGCCACCTGATGAGCGTTACACTGACCTGTTCACAGTAACCTGAACGATTACAATTCCCAAATCTTTCAGCTTCCACATGTTTGTTATAAACGAAGATTCTCCCCTTCAGATTATTGATGTTCTTTTCGACCTATTTTCCTTTTGTACTTTGTAGCATTTACATCCAAACCCTTCTCCAGTTATCTCAGTAATGGGCAGGAAATGTCGCAATGGAAAAGGAATGCTATGTCTATCTTGGCGATTATAAGAAGGCTTAGATCCGCCTGAATACTGAATCCTAGAGGCTGGCTAGAAATTTGTCACAGGTAAATATGATATTGCTCAGTGATTTACACTATTGTAGGTGTGTGATTTGTTCCCAATGGTTTTGTAGTGTTTGGAACAAGGATCAGGCGAATCACATTGACAATGAGATCCTTGCTTGGGGTTGTTAACCTGGGCCAATCAGGGATCACGTTGATTGATTTTATTGTCACGTGTACTGAAATACAGTGAAAAGTTTTGTTTATGAGCATACAGGCAGATCACAGCAAGCAAAAGATGTACAAATCAAAAAGACTTAGATAGAGGCATCCAGTTCACATTATTTGAAGCTCGAGAGTTCATCAGTCTGATAATGGCCAGAAAGAAGCTGTTCCTGAACCTGCTGGTGCGTGTGTTCAGGCTTCTGTATCTTCTGCCTGATGGAAGAGGTTGTAGGAGATCATTACCGGGGTGTGATGGGTCTTTGTTGGTCACCTTTCCGCAGTAGCGAGCTATTTAAATGGAGTCCATGGATGGGAGGTTGGCTTCCGTGATGGTCTGGGCTGTGCACACCACCTTCTGTAGTTTCTTACGGCCCTGGGCAGTAAGAGCAGTTGCCATACCAGGCCGTTATGCACCCGGAGAGTATGCTTTCAATGGTGCTTCTGCAGAAGTTGGTGAGGGACCTTATAGACAAGCCAAATTTCCTGAGACACCTGAGGAAGAAGAGGTGTTATTGTGCCATCTTGACTGTCACATTTACATGGGAAGTCCAGGACAGGTTGTCGGTTATCGTCACTTCCAGGAACTTGACATTCTTCACGCTCTTAGCCTCAGTTCTGTTGATGTAGATGGGGGCGTGTTCTCCTCCTTTGTTTCTGAAGTTGCTGATCCGTTCTTTATTTCTGCTGACGTTGAGAGACAAATTGTTTTTTTGCACCACGTCACCAAGCCCTCCATCTCCTTCTGTATTTTGACTTGTTGTTGTTAGATATCCATCCCACTATGGTGGTGTCATCAGTGAACTCATAGATAGCATTCGTTCAGAATTTGGCAACACAGTGGTGGGTATACAGCGAGTACAGTAGCGGGCTGAGGACTCATCCTGGGGGGGGGCTGCAGTGTTGAGTGTTATTATGGAGGAGGTGCAGTTCCCTATCCTCACTGATTGTGGTCTATGGGTCAGAAAGCTGAGGATCGAGGCAGAGGGCGGAGCTGAGACCAAGGTCACAGAGTTTTGAGATCAGTCTGGAGAAGATCGTGGTGTTGAAGGCGGAGCTGTCGACAACGAACAGGAGTCTGACATAGGTGTCTTTGTTGTTCAGATGTTCCAGGATTAAGTGTAGGGCTAGGGATATGGCATCCACTGTGGATCTGCTATGTTGGTAGGCAAACCGTGGGGGATTGAAGCAGGTTGGGAGACTGAAGTTGATGTGGGCCATGACCAGCCTCTTGAAGCACTTCATGATTATTGAGGTCAGAGCCACTGGGCGGATGTCATTAAGGCACATTGCATGTGTTTTCCTGGGTATGGGGATGATAATGGTCTTCTTGAAGCAGGTGGGGACTTTGGCTTGTAGGAGGAAGAGGTTGAAGATGTTGGTGAATACCTCCACCAGTCAGTTCGTGCAGGATCTGAGCACTCAGCCAGGGACACCATCGGGGCCCATCCCTTTCCTTGGGTTGACTCCCAGGAAGACTGATCTGATTTCTGAAGCGGTGACAGAGGGAAGAGGTGTGTCGGGGGCTGTCGGGGCAGGCGTTGCCACACCGGTGGGATTCTGCTCAAATTGAGCATAGAAAGCATTGAGGGTGTCAGGGAGGGATGTGTTATTGGGGTTGGGGGGGTGGTAGGGTTGGTGGAGTGGGGGTGTTGGGGTTGGGTGGTGTGGGGT